TTGTCGTGCCCGGGTGCAGCGAGGCTGGGGCGGTGGAGCGGGTGCCGCCGTCTTGGGACCTGTCACAGAGCGCGGTGCTCCGGCTGCTCCGCTGTCAGCTGACCCGTGTCAGAGCTGGGTCTCAGCTGTGGAGATGAGGACACCTGACCGTGAGAATCATTTGCAGCATCTTTGCAGCAGCGTGTGTTCATCTTTCAATGGTTAATCCTCAGTTTACTGAGTAATAATATTTTGAACTGCTGTTGCCTGTGGATATTTGGAGGCTGAGTTTATCATTCTATTTCATGTTTTTTTTTAATCTACTTTTTACTTTCCCTTTCTTGCTTTTAAAAGATACCACGTTCTTCAGGAGAGCTTAATCAAACTTGTGGAAGCTTGTAATGACCAGACGCATAACATGGACCGCTGGCTCGGGAAGCTGGAGGCCTCCAACTGGCTGAGCCACATCAAGGAGATCCTGACCACCGCCTGCCTTGCGGCTCAGTGTGTCGACAGGTACAGCGCGCCCGGCCTTGCTGAGCGGGACACGCCCATTACTAGACTTGATTTTCATCCAGACTCGTGCTTACAGTCTTGCCTATCATGTAGCTTACCTTCAGGTCATTTTAAAAATTACTGTGTAAGCGAGGGAATACCACTGAGTTATTGAGGGATAGTCAAGACAGCCTGGCATTCAGAGATAGTATTTGTGGAAGGAATGACCCACATCTGTACATGTCTTCTATGACACACTTTTTATTTTATTTTTTTCCCCTGGGAGAGAAAAATACAAACTGTGTTATTTGAAGCCACAACTCATAGTGACACTGTCAGGCCCAGCATGCTTGTTTCAGCAGAAACACAGTAAAAAGTGAGCCAGCAACCAGCGTTAACTAAAGCAAACGACTTATGACACAATTTTTAAAGTTACTGCAGAACTTATTTCTTTCTGTAAAATCCTTAAATTACGAATCACCAATTTTCCATTTCTTACACTGTGAGCGAGAATCAAAGGAAGTTTTCTTACTTTTTCTCAGACAGCCAAACTTGCCTCCATGCTGTTGCCCCATAGGAGATGCGGCTTCATTACACAGTAGCAAGATCTTTTCTAATCTCTCAGATCCCTTATTCCAGAGCACTTGCCAGGTGCACTTCTATCCGATCTCAAGGTGAGAAAATTCGATGGTAGTGATGGGACAGGTGTAAAGTGATTTTAGGTTGTTCATTCAGTTAAAAGTTGCTAACCTGTGAGACTTGAGGCAGAAGACTTGAACAGAGGCAGACGCTTGGAATTATTGCAGAAGCTTAGAAGGCCCTTTAAGATGGGGGTTTCCACTGAAACCATCGGTAGGTACATGTACTGTCACCACCTAGTTGGGTAGCACTTTTCTTTGAGCCTGTAACTTATTAGCACTTCCAATCAAGGGAAACGTGTGTAATATTTCATGGTCAGAGAGATACTGATGATGGGCTGGGTATTCATGATCTAAGTCAGCCACAGCAGTGAGAACAGGCAGAGACCCTTGGGGTCAGTATTGGTAAGCTGTCGCTGTTGTTTTAGGGTTAGGTAAAGCTCATTTACCCAGTGAAATATGGAAACTAAAGGACAAGGTTCGGTGGGGAAGGGGTCAATAGTGCAGAACGCTGAGGTGTTACTCTTGAGGGCTTTGTTCTTATAACCTAAGTCTACCAGAGTCCTCCTTACATTGTGAGAGGCTTCTGTTTCCTTATGAAACATAAATTATAATGAACATGCATCATCACGTGACCTGCTTTTTCAGCTACATCAGTGAGGTGGTACAGGTCAGGGCACCCTGGCTGCAGAAGAGTTTGTGTCTGCCTGTGTTGGGTTTGGGCTGGCCGCCTTCAGCACACAGGGACTTCCAAGCTCTCTAGGTCTTGGGTTTGCACTGCCATGTTTAGGTTCCCTTTCCTGATACATATTAGCTTATTATTTATGCTTCCATAAAATTTTGGCCCAATAATTAATTGCTAAAAATGTAAACATAGACCTTAAATTACTTGAATTAAATTCACAATAAGCTAAATATACAAACATTAATGTATTTGCTCATTCTCTTTAATGCAGTCCTTAGATTTTGTCCTAAAAATGGAATTACTAACTTACCTTGGGTGAACTTCGGGAGTTGGGTATTTTCAAATGAATAATTACCAAGTAACTGAGCAGAAGACAAAAAGCTAGTTAAGTACATCATTTACTTTATAAGAAAAATGGGCTTATCCTAAATAGCCAACTATAGGATTAAGTAAATTATAGTTCATCACTTAATAGACTATTATGTGGTCATTAATACAGGAAATTACTTTTCTAGCTATAGAAAGTATATATGTATATGGGAAAAGAATTGGCAGTGGTTATCAAATGTGAAATTTCCCTTTTCCAAAAGGTTCTTCACTGTTCTTTCATTTAAAAGGGTGGAAGAAGAGGATGAGATTGCAGTTGATTTCGTTTGGTGTTTTCTTCCATTCTCTTCAGAGTAGCAGGGTCCCAGCTACTCGTACGTCTTGTAGGATGGGGCATCATTGCCACTAGATTGACTGTTCTTGGTTTTTGTTTTTCTGTTTCTTTGTTTCTGAAAGTGTGCTTTAGGGTTTTTTCTCAAATCCTTTACAGTTTATGATGTCCTTTTAGTAAGTTTATGGCATCCTTTTAGTAAGCTGATGGATGGGCAAAATTTAAGGTCATAAAAAATAAGTTTGGTAAGAAAAAACTTTACTCAGCTATTAAAACAGTAACATTAAGTGCCTGCTATGACAAGAACTGCTTTTGACTGGTTTTTCAAGGAATAGAAGATTTAGCAGAAAAGTGCTATAAAACTTGTCATCACTGAGTGAGATTTTTACCATATGAAATGTGGAACTCACTGTAGTCTTATCTTTTCCTAAGATAACCTCTCGTCTATCCAGTGCCTTACTTAGGCTCCAGCCCCTACCGGGCAGGATAGATGCACGAGACTGAAATACTGCTCCCCATAGATGTTTATCATGAACACAGTTCAGCGGGCACGTCAAGAGCGTCCCATTTGTGCTCTGGATTTTCCTTCCAGGGAAGGTGCATCCATATTGGTGCACGGCACAGAAGGAACTGACTCCACGCTGCAGGTGACCTCCCTGGCCCAGATCATCTTGGAACCGAGAAGCAGGACCATCCGGGGCTTTGAGGCACTGGTAGAGAGAGAGTGGCTCCAGGTGAGAAAAGCTGCCGATGGGAACAGGAGCTGCACTCACTGAGGCTGCCATTCTGGCTGTGGTAGCCGGCGTCAGGTGTGATGGGTGGAAAATTTTAAATCATGTGTTTAGCTTTCTGTGGGCCAGTAAATCTCCCTTCCTCTCATTAAATATTTATAATCTTCACTAGCTGTCAATGTCTAGGTTTCTCATGGCTTATATTGTTTATTTAGCACATGTTCACTTAAAAGCCTTTTGTCAGCTGAACAGGCTGAGCAGCCTCATTCTCAAAATGCAGAGTGCTCTAAAATCTGAAATTTTCTGACCTCATGGCCTATGTTACAGCTGTATGCAGATGCACTAAAAGTATTGTGCAAAATCACCCGCAGACTTTGTGTAGGACTGGGAATATAGCTCAGCAGCACAGTGCCAACCTGGCAAGCACAAGGTCCTGAGTTCCACTTCCAGTATAGAAAAAAACAAAAAACTGTGTGTAAGGTGTATAGGAAACAAAAGAATTCTAAAAGCTTTAAAGTGTTTGCTTATATACTCTAGCCTAGTCTACATTGTGTTTGTCTTTTGATTCTGTTGATGATTTCCCTTGCTGTGCAGCTTTTTAATTGGATGTTTAGGTTTGGGTCTCATCCCCAAGATACCTCATTATGTATATGAACCATATTCCAAGATGCCAAAAAAATCTGAAATTCATAACACTTCTGACCCCAAGCATTTTAGACAAGGGATGCTCAACCTGTACTTTGTTACATATCAAAGAAATACAAAGAATGTAAAACACAGTCTGGTCTCCCAGAAACTTAGTCTAGGTAGAGATAAGCTAGTCAGGAAAGGGCTGGTGGAGTAGGGGCAGCAATCACAAAGCCTGTACTTTAACACTTCCGACTTCCACTTATCCTCTCCCCTAACCAGGTGAAATCCTTGCCATCCTTTAAGATCCAGCTAAACTTTGTTGCTTTCCTGAAGTCTTTGAGACCTTAGTCTCCTTCACAGATAAAATTGATCCATTTCCTTCACATCCTGTTTCCTGAACTAGCACCCACCCTCCCCCAGAAAGAAGAGGGCCAGGTGCCCTATTCATCTGTTTATCCCTAGGACACAGTTGGGTGACTACTAAAATAAACATAGGTTGAAATCCTCCAAGTCACAGATTAATTTATGGATGTATTTTCACTTTGTAACTTAGTAAATAATAGTGATTGAAAACAAATACTTAGACATCTATCGAAAGGAGATATATCTACCTCTGATGAAGAAGACTTTCTGGCCTTTCCAGGTACAGTGTAAATGTTCCATGTGTTAGTGTTATTAGATATACCCTGTCTTGGTGAAAGTCTATTCAGCTACATTTCTCCTGATCCGTAGTAAACAAATGAGTGTGCTTTAATTATATATTACCATTTTAACATGTATCCAGATCGACATCCCAGTAGCCACTAGAAATTTTTCATGCACTGTCTTTGCCCAATAAAGTCGAACAAAGTCCCAAAGACAAAGCAGGCCTGTGAAATAAGAGAGTGATTTGTGGTGAGGTCAGTACTTGGGTACTGGGCAGAGGGCAAGAGGTTTAAATTTTCTCTGGCAGTCTCTTGCCACTTTGGAGGGGAAGAAGAGGACAGTTAAGGATAGCTTTATCTCTAATACAGAAGTACAGTGTTCATTAAGATCTCTTTAAGACAATGGCTTTTTCCACTGGTAACAAGGCGTTGTTCCCCAAGCGACTTGCGTAGTTGGTGTGCAGAGTGCTGTGGTCGTCTCTGTTCCGTGATGAGGTTAGTGGTTCGCAGCACAACTGACAGTTTCCGATAAGGAGCGGTGATGGTTATCCTTTGTTTTATACCCCAGAGCTTATGTTTCTTGACTGTACTCCAAATGTGCAGATCTGAAAATGTTCACTTTTATACACTTACTGTTTGTTAAATTCATTATTCTTTCGCTCACTACCCCAAGGGCAGGTGCAGTTCCTGTGTCCATGTCTTGACTGCACAACCTTGTAAAGGTTTGGAAATTCCAGTTGCTGCAATTACTCATTTAAAACCAAGGAGCAATTCACCTATTCCGAAGCCGCCGTGCTCTGTGATGCTCCGGTTAATACAGCTCCACGCAGTTGTGTGGGGTGGGGTCAGTGGAGTTAGTACTGTGATCTCCACGGGAACAGCAGTCACGTTTGCCTCCCTTTTCCCCTAGGCTGGTCACCCGTTCCAACAGCGCTGCGCACAGTCGGCCTATTGCAGCAGTAAGCAGAAGTGGGAGGCTCCTGTATTCCTTCTCTTCTTGGACTGTGTGTGGCAGATACTTCGCCAGTTCCCTTGTTCTTTTGAATTCAATGAGCATTTCCTCATCATGCTCTTTGAGCATGCCTATGCCTCACAGTTTGGAACATTTCTGGGCAACAATGAAAGTGAAAGGTAGGTGCGCTGCTCCCGTGGGGACCTCTTATTAATGGTAGTGACTTCCTAAAAGAGACCAAATGTGGGTTTAATGCAGCTTAAAAGAAGGTAGAGGCTACAGCTAAGCATGAATTAAATTACATGAACTATAGCCTTATTATAAGCCAATCTCATGCTAGGAAGGAGGATATCCTTGACCTTGTTGGAATTGGTTAAAGTTAGGGGCTGGACTTAGAGCTCAGTGGTGGAGCGCTTGCCTAGCATGTGAGGCCGTAGGTTCCATCCCCAGCACTGCAAAGAAACAAAAACCAGAAAAACACAAGTATTTTGTAGACGTAGACCAAATTAATCTATGTAATATATAGAATCGTTAAAGTGCTTACTCTTACTCAACAGCTTCGTCTCTCATTCTCCAAGCTTTTTCACTCTTGACTTTTATCCTTTGCTGTACAGAAGCTTTTTATTTGATTTAATATCATCTTTTGATTCTTGCTGTTATCTCCTGTACTACTGGAAGCCTATTCAGAAAGTCTTTGCCTGTGCCTGTGATTTGAATTGTTCCCCTGTGTTTTCTTACACAATTTTCAGTTTCAGGTCTTTGATCCATTTTGCATTGGTTTCTGTACAAGTCGAGAGACTAGGTTCTAGTTTCAGTCTTCCATGTATGGATGTCCAGTTCTTCCAGCACCATCTGTAAAGAGGCTTTCTCCAACATACACTTCCGGGCCCCTTGCCAACAACCAGATGGCTGGAGTTCTGTGGGTTTGTTTATGTGTCTTCTATTCCCTTGGTCAGTGTTTCTGGTTTTGTGCTAGTACTAGGAGTTCCTATGGCTTTGTTCTATTTTGAAGTTGGGGATTGTGAAACCTCCAGCCTTGTTCTTTTTGGAACATATTAAAAATAAAGGCACAGCGCCTGCCTGGCAAGTGCAAGGTCCTGTGTTTGATTCCTAGTACCAAAAGGAAAAGAAAAAGAAGTGCCCTGGCTGGCACTTTGATTCCGTGTGATGGGAAGTGAATGAGTCTGTCATGGCATCTGGTACAAGGGAAGATAATTAGTAACCACTTGGTGGCTTCCACCGCTACAACAACTACAGTGGTGCCTTGGTTCATGAACTTAACTTGCTTTACAATTCTGGAGAAGCCAGCTGCGTTTCTGCTTCGGGGAAAGTAGTTCTGGTCGTTTGTCGCCAGGTGTGGAGTCGGCAACGGGAAGCAAATTCTGCCTGTGTTTGTGAACTGAGTTGTTTGCCACCTAGACGTGTTCGTGAGCTGGGGGTTGACAGTAATTAACTTAGAAAAAGGTTTCCAAGGCTGTGTGACTGGGCACAACCATTGCTTTCTGGAGTCTGGCTGGGTGCGGGTGACAGTGGCAGGGACAGCGCTGGCACAAACGGTCACCTTGTGAAGAGGGAGTGAGGACTTGGATAGGGTTCGGGTACAGCTTAGAAATGAGGGATTTCCGGGAAGTAACTGGCCCCAGGAAAGCATCATTCGAACAGTGTCCTGTGAAAATGTAGTGTGTTCTCTTTTTGGTTACTGTCAGCTTCACCACAGGCTGTCTGTCAGTCTCTGTTAAAATCCACTCCTTTTCTAAAATACACCAGTCCACTCTCCTTCCACACGAAGTTTTACAGGGTAGCGTCAGGATTACTAGGAGCACTGTTTATTATGTATGGATGTAGATTTGTCTTTACATTAAGATTTGCTTTATTTTTAATCTTCGACAATTTGTTTATTTTGTGTATATGCATTTATTTTTCCTAAAAACTAAGAGAGTCTCTAAAAAATGTCAAGCTTTGAGATTTGATCAACTTTTATTTTTAATATGTTCCGTATAAATTTTGTGACTATCATCCACTAGGCATCTCAGGAACAAAAAAGTTAGAAAGCTATTTATAGTTAGCTATTTTAAATTAAAACACAATCCCAGATACAACAAAGCCTTTTCCATGTTCTCTAGATCCATGATGGGGAACCTTTTAGAGCCTTCACAGACATCTCGCTGTGGCACACATGCCATAGGTTTGCCATCACTGCTCTAGGCTGAGGTTTGTCACCTGTAAGACAGTCTTTGTTTTGTGGTTGGTGAGAGTTGTAATGCTGTATTCAGTCACACAAAGTTCACCTATCCAGGGGAGCTGAATCATGGGGAGCTGATGAGCAGGTGCTGTAAATCTGCTGACTTAATGACCCTTTTCTTTCTCCATCAGATGTAAGCTGAAGCTACCGCAGAAGACGATGTCTTTGTGGTCCTGGGTCAATCGGCCCAGCGAGCTGAGTCGGTTCACCAACCCTCTCTTCGAAGCCAACAACCTGGTCATCTGGCCATCGGTGGCCCCGCAGAGCCTGCAGCTGTGGGAAGGTATCCGTGGCCCGCAGACCCCGCCCGCACCCGTGCTGCTGACGCATGCGCGCTGCTGGCCTTTGCAGACCCGGCAGGATGTGGCCCCAGACCTGGGTGCAGCAGCTGCACCTCCTCCATGTGGGCGGGTTCTCTTCTTCGCATCCTTGCCCAGTCATGCTCTTTTCAGTTCTCGTTGGGAAAATTAAGACACTGCCCTTTATCTTGTTCTATTCAGTTTTTCCTAGATAAAGTATTTTCCTTTTTTTTTTTTTTTTGCATGCTGGAATTATACCCAGGGTCTAACCGCTGAACTACATTCCTATCCCTGTTTATATTGAGACGGGATACAGGGTCCTCCTCAGTTGCTAAATTGCCCACTGTAGACCCAAATTGAGGCTTCTCCTGCCTCAGGCCCCGAGAGTGCTGGGATCACAGGCTTATGCCACCGCGCCTAGCTGCTATGTTATTTTATTATAGAAGAGAGTTAGTGGGTAGTTGAGACATAAATAAATTGTAAACTCCTGGGAGAGGGTTTCTACTTTCCTTTATGAAGCAGTCATTGAGGTAGGTTCCCGTGTGAAATGCTGTCAGATGCTTACATGGCCAGACATTCCAGTGGGTCTAGAAGCAGACACAAAACATCACTGGTGTAGAATTTTTAGCTATCTCATTGTTTGTGTGGAACAATAACCAATGTAGAATGTTCAATTATTCCAAAGTAGGTTTTTTTACAAATACAAATTTCTCAGATTCCTGAAGCTTAGCCTAAGTAGCAAAGCTTGTTTAAAAAAAAAAAAAAAATTTACCTGCCATGTATGGTGATGCACACCTGTAGTCCCAGCACTTGGGAGGCTGAGTCAGGAGGATCGTCACAAGTTGGAGGCCAGCTTGGTTTATATAGTGAGGTGAAGGCCAGCCTGAACTATATAGCAAGCCCCTGTCTCAAAAAAAGAAGTTACCAAACTCTAAAATATATTAGCTGTTCTTTAAACAAAGACTGTAAAATACAGTTTAATTTCTGTGCAGTCATTTTGAAGACACTGAGCACATCTGTACTCGTGTATGTATAAAACCACATGACGTGTAGATAAAAGTGTGGTAGCTGTTTGATAAATCAAACTGACTCACCATAAATGTGAGTGGTTACACTGTATTCCAGTGTGGTCTGCTCTCTGGCAGCTCAGGAGAGCAACACTCTGCCCTTTGTGTAAGAGGCTCTCAGGATGCTTTGCTTTCTGGGTCTGTTTCTGCCCCTTCCCTGGATGTCAGTGTCACATCCTGTCCCTCTTGGCATACGCGACTGCACGACTGCGTCCCTCTGCTCAGCGCAGGTGTCCGTCCCGTCCACCAAGCTGTTGGGATGCGGGGCAGCCGCCTCTGGGCTCGCCGGCGTGCGAGTGCGGGCTGTCATGCACTGTCTGAAGGCCTTTGGCTGCTTGAGACAGAGCTTCTCCTCGCCTCCTCTCCTGACTGTTGCGGACAGTCACGGGCGCAGAGGGAGAGCTTACAGCTTTACTTCCTGTGGAAAGGCTCCCAGGGCCCTCCATGTGCAGGCCACTGACCTGTCCAGTCCCTGAAGCTAGCTGTTTGGGAGTTGCATGGCCAGCTGAGTATTCTTTACCGAACACCTTGGGCCTTTAGAGATTAAGTGATAGAAGGAAAACTTCATTATGTGAATGAATTCCTACCACGCTATCAAGAACAGAGACTCAGTCAGTAGTCAGTCGGTGCTTCTGCAACTTAGGGCTGGGAGAAATTCTACGTAAGGTAAATCTTACGGTAGATACGTCATTGCATGAGACTGCTCTTTGGCCTGTTTTTTTTTTTTTTTTTTTTTTGAGAAAGGATCTTGCTGTGTAGCCTGGGCTAGCCTCAAACTTGTGATACTTCGGCCTCAGCCTTCTGAATGCTGGGATTATAGGAGTCTGCCACCACACCCAGCTGCACTGTTTGGACTTTAAATCTTTCTGCTGTTCATATTTACATCATAAGTAAGCATTAATAGCAATTTCTATATTGAAAAATGGAATAATCATGTGATAAAAGAAACAAAACAGGTCAGTTAATCTTTAGGCAGTCAGCATCTATATCTACGGGTTCCACATGCGTGGATACGACCAATTGTGGATCTAAAATACTGTTTAGAAACGCGCATCTGTATTGAACACATGCAGACTTTTTTCCTTGTCTTTTTTCCCTGAACAGTATAGTATAACAACTAACTCCATGACATCTCCATTGTATTTATTATCATAAGTGATCTAGAGCTGATTTAAAATCTGTAGGAGGACATGCATACATCATATACAAATTACGACACTTTTATATAAGGGACTGTGTCTCCCAGGATGCTGAGGGACAAGTATGTATCCCTGTAGTGCATAATAAAAGGGCAGTTATTGTTTGAGGAAAGCAGCAGTTGCCTACAGAACTGGATGATGCCTCTCAGTGCGTGTACATGTGCTGATGTCGAGGTTGCGTAGCAGTCTAGGAGCTTGCAGTTCCTGTCGCGTCGAGTTCCAGGGAAGGTGCTTTCTTGCTTGTAGGAGGTCTTGCAGGCCTGAGTAGAATTCTACAATTGTAAGAATAAATGATTTGTACTGTGAAGCTAGAAAGTTTCCAGTATGGTAAATGCTCAGCTGCTTTTTTTCACTATGTCACAGAACAGTATTTTGATTTATTTGATAATTTTGTAGAATTTTTGTGAAGAATTAATGAGCATGTACTATATAGAAATCTCGGTACCCTATTTAATTGGATCCGCTCAGCACCTCCAGATTCCTGTCTACTTTAGAGGATAGTAAACCTGGCAAGGGGCTGGGGATTTAGCTCAGCGGCAAAAGCGCCTGCCTGGCAAGCGCAAGGTCGTGAGTTCGGTTCCCGGTACCGGAGAAAAACCAAAAAAAAAAAAAAAAAAAAAAGTAAACCTGGCATGAGCTGTGGGGGAAAGGGAAAAGTGGGGAGTGGAATACATAAAGTGCTGCATTCCCTTTCCGTGCGGTGCTGATCTGCTGAATGTATCTTTCTCCTTCTGGACTCCGCAGGAACTTTCCTCCGGTGGAACAGATCCTCTAAGTACCTGGACGAGGCGTACGAGGAGATGGTGAACATCATTGAGTACAACAAGGAGTTGCAAGCAAAGGTCAACGTGCTGCGGAGGCAGCTGGCTGAACTGGAGACGGAGGACGGGCTGCGGGAGAGCCCCTGAGCGTGCCGTGGAGACCCGTGCGGCTGCGGCTGCCTCTCTCCTGCCCTTCCGTTCACTTGTACCTGGGAGCCTGGAACTCAAGGCTTCTCTTGGGAGCCCTCTAATGTCACGGCTTTCTCAGTACCATGGAACAAAACTACTACAATCATACCTATTTTACGTGGCCTGCTAGGCAGCCCTTTGCTTTGGGAGCAGGAAGGAGGTGCTAGTCATTCATTTTAGGTGACATCCTTGACCTAGCGAATGCTGTCTGTCACAGGCCATCACTGAGCGTCCTCCAGCTCCACCTCCACCTCCACCTCCACCTTCCATACCGCGCTCCAGCCCACTCCAGGACGCAACAGTCTCTTTAAGGAATAGTTGATGGTTAAAAAAAAAGGGTCAGGCTTTTAAGCACTCGGTATAGAAATTTTTTTCCAAGCTGAAGTGGTGGATAAACCAAGAACTTTGTGTTTAACATGCTATTTCCATTACCTTTGCCCATTAAAATAACCAGGCTCTTTAAAACAGTTTTGGGACTAACAAAACCGAATTCACTCTCATTCTGGTTTGTCAAGAAGGGAGAATTGGAATACTACTGAAGACAAATTCTTTCTACAAGGCAAGAGGTATGGTTCTCTGACACGTACAAGCATTAAATTTGTTTTCAGAGAAGACACTAAAAGTGCGTGCAATATGGAGTCAGAGTGGGGACTTGTTACTGACAGAGAACTGTGACTGTTGAATTGGTTTTTCAGGTTTTGGGCCATGCATATAAAATGTGTATCAAACGTTGGATATAGAATGAAACTGTCACTTAAAATAGCACTGTTATAATTAAGCTACAAAAATGGTTTCCTTAAACCAGAGCTGCACTGCCCTCATCTGAAGTTCTTACTGCACTGGTTTATACCTGTGTGTGTATGTGTTCTACTTGAGTTTTAGGTATTTTAAGAGTTTACTGATACAAAGGTTAAAACATTCATGTTGGCTTGAGCAGCTTGTAAATTTGTCTTGACTGCTTATTTGTCCGGTTTGTGTTAGGCAAGTATAATTTAACTGGAGGGGGAAGCTTCTGAATACGGTGCAGCTCTGTTTGAAACTTGAGAGTTCTGGAAGGGTCTGGGTGCCACAGAACAGCAGTGGCTATGTCCCTGAAACGCTAGATTGTTTTTACCTGCAGCGTCCAGTACTGGTTCAGTACTTTGCTTCTTTCATCGATCCTGTCCATTCTAGGTTTCCCCTAAGAGGGTGGTTCAGGAATGGGCTTTAATTGCGTTTGCACACCGTCTGTGTACAACCACTGCAAAACACAGCCACCTGGACCCCACCTCAGACTTAACATGTTGAGGTAAACATAACTTTAAAAATTGACTCTAGCAAAATCTGTGGCCATGTCCAGAAACCTTAGCTTGCAGCCCGTGCTTTGCAGCTCCGGTTGCCCAAGCTTCCCCCTTCCTCCGCCTTCCTGAGACTTGCGGCAGAGGCCAGGCAGCACCCAGTGGTCCAGACTCTTGGGCTAGATTTCGCTGCCTTCTTCTCCAAGCTCACTTTTGTTCCTGGCTTATGTTCTTGGCTGCAGTTACAAATCCTAGGCCATCACTGCCCTCACCAAAAGACGAAGCAAAAGAGCAGAACGGGTGTTCTGTCTTGCTCTGCCCGGGTCTGCATGATGTGAAGAAATGCCCGTCATTGCCTTCTTCTCAATGGATCCTCAAAATGGCTGGCAGTGGTGCCTTGTGCAGCTGACCTTTTTGTTTTTTTCAACTCTATCTCTAGCTCACGCATGAATAAGGACCCTTTTCTGAGATAGCGGACCAATAAGGAAAATCACCTAGGAGTTCTTTCCTTTGTGATTCTTTAGAGTGACCCCCTCTGCTTCTCTGGGTTGGGCTTCCCTGGGCGAACACTGAGGGGAGCTCTTGCCAGGCGTGGTCGTGGACAGCTGATGCGTTGTGAGCCTGTGTTGTCTTCCTGATGAATGGTGATGTGTGAGCTAGAGACAGTGATAGCAAGTGTTCCAGTTCCTTTTTCTTCCCCTTACTGAGACAGCACCATCACTGTTTCGACACGCTTGCATTTTAGTATTAACTTGTAAATAGGGGTCCTGCAAGCTTCAGGTCTGTGTGCAGGTTGTAAAGACAAACTGGTCTCTGCACTTTCAACAGGGTCATTTCATAATGGAAACGCTAGAGTTCCCCCAAACTCAAGAGAACAGTAAACAGGTGCATTATCAGTCTAATTTGAAGAAGGTGTTTAACAATGATTAAATTATCCTTCCCTTGGGTGAGAAGAGTAAATAAAATGGGTACATTCAAGAGAAGATTCTTGTTAAGCATTAGGTTTAGAGAGTTGGCTTTGATAAATGTGGCTTTAAAAACTTTAAGGACGAGAATGGAGCCGAATCAGTAAGGAAGCACATGCTCTGCAGGAGCCAGGAATAATCAAGTGAGATACACTCGGACTCAGGCGTGTGTGTCTGCCGCCATCTCTGTTCACACAGAGTGGAGCAGGTGAACATGTGGGTTGTTCATAGAGAAGCCCCTGCCACAAAGGCCATTTTAAAAATACAGAGGATCACTGTCCTCCTTCATCAGCAATACAAGGATCCTCGGGTTTAAATTAGTATTTTTTGACAACCAAAAGAACATAACCATTTGATTATAAAACTGGAAGCATTTTTGGTCTGAGACTTTTCAATAATTATTTATTTGGTCAGCATTATTAAGTGGGAAGAAAAGCAGAAATAATAAAATCTCTAATAGTTTACAATGAACTACAGCCGAATGTGGTGGTACACATCTGTAATCCCAACACTCGGGAAGCTGAGGCAGGAGGATTGTTCCAAGTTGGAGACCAGCCTGGGCTACAAAGTGAGCTCAAGGCCGGCCTGAACTGCATAGTGAGACCTTGTCTCAAAAGGATAAAAAAAAAACTATAAATGTATTTTATTTCTTAGCAAAATGAGGCTGATGGGGCCGGGGATGTAGCTCAGTGGCATAAGTGCCTGCCTGGCAAGCACAAGGTCCTGAGTTCGATTCCCGGTACCAAAAAAAAAAAATCTCCAACAGAGAAATGAGGCTGTTGAAGCAAGATTTTAAAGTGATTTTTGGGCAGCCTTGGGAGGACCATGGTAGACATTCTTTGAAAATCCCATGTAAAGGATTTTAAAACTTCTCTATAAAGGATTTAAAAGGGTTAGAACTTTGAGGCCTGACTTAGTGAGATCTCATTTCATTTCATTTGAAAAGACAAAATTTAATGGGATTTTAGTCTTTCGTTCAATCAGTAATTGGTTTATGTTAAACAAAAAAAAATCAATATCATGGGAAAGATTTGACCAGTAATTTAGCATCTTGAAGAGAAAAATAGGAGTAACATTTTGTCACATTTTGAAAAATCTGCTTAAAGAAATAACTGCAGCAGTTTTCTGGTTTCAAAGATAGCTGCTGTGATGTCCCTTTTAATTAGGTCATTAGGATCCTTTACTATCAGATTGTAATCTGAGGCAAAGGTTTTAATACTTACCCACTTCCAAAGTTAAATGAAAACTACATGAGGATGTTAGGAGCATTCTTCATGAGAAAAATATTTCCTGGACAGAGGATGGGCAGTGTTTAGAATGGTTCACCTGTTCTGGGAGCTTTGACCTTCCGCAGAGATTGAGGTCATTCGGCACATCCGGGACAGGCTTGTACTACGCCTCAAGACCACTTCCACTCACTACTTCTTTCCACGAAGAAGTCCCCTCCAGAGCTGTTATTTTAAGTTATTGCCAAATAGTATTTCTGTGGTTTTCACCATCAGAGCAGAAAACATTGAAAGACTGACTTCTCTGTTCTTATTTATTCATAGATGATATGAAACGCTCATTTCTTTTCAGTGTCAGTTTTCTGATGTTTCTTTTCTTGACTAAAACTGTTTTTACCTTCACCAAATCTTTACGATCCACTGTCCACAACAGCATCTTCTCTGTTTAAACCAATAGTCCCAGAAGAGACCATCTGAAATTCCAGGACTAGGTTCTAAAAGTTCTGAACTTGTTGTCCAAATTCTACGAAACCTAAGGCTCTGTCTCTTGAAGAGCACAGCAGAGCAGAAGTTTATGTTCAGTTTAATGGCGGTGCTGGGCTCTCTGTGGACCCTCCGCCGTCCTGACGGGAGCGCCCTGGCTGTGCAGCCACTTGCAAGTGTGAGGATGGACTGTCGGTGACCTGTGGTAAGGGTCGTGCAGCGCTGCCTCTGGGTCAGGCCAGTCATTCGCTTCACTTTTAAGATGCACATATCTTTGGCGAGGTGAATTATTCTGCACAAATACACCCTGATCCCCTTGTTCAGAATCCGTATAGCTCTGTTACCATCCACACTAAAAATATTATACTTGCACAACTTAGTTTATAGAAAACAGAACATGTATTTCTTCAGTAGCCAAGTGTTTGGGTTGTACTCTTGGTATATTTGAATGTGACTCCTGGATTTAAAGTGCACTATTATTCACATCCTACGTGTAAAACTGCACTGTATGGCGAATGTGTCTATAATGTATGCTTTGCCGAAACCTCAGAGTGCTGTAGTGTACAGGTTTTTATATTGTGAACCTGTTTAAATATATATATATATATGTATGTATGTATGTGTTTATATATAGCCTTAGGGAAAATTCTGAACTTTTGTAAGTCTGTGTAACCTTTTAATATTCTTTGTAATGTTCACTAAGTGATAAGTTCACTTATGTGCTATAACTGGACTCAGTCGCCTGGAGTTGGCTGGTTTGTCAAGCTTAGTTTTCTGAGTCAAGAAGCAGTCTTATCGGATGTGGTACCGTTCTTGGTGTGTAATATCCGCGTGTGGTGTTATCCCCCAGCTTAAGAGGACAACGTATTTCACAGAAGCTAGTGTTAAATTTCTATAGACAATGGTAATAAAATTTGGATATATTCAATGCTGATAAATTAAATCTGTAGGCTGGTTTTATTTTTTTAATATGTGCAAGAGTTTTGGTGGTATTTCAGCTAAAACTGTTATATATTTTTGACCATATATTTTGGAAAAATTGAGAGCTGCAAAAATGTTGCAACATAGTACAGTGATCTCCCATGCGCTGTTGGGATAGAGTAAGCAGTTGATCACATCACCCCCATTTTCTTTAACACTCTTGTATGTGCATGTATATAATTAGCTTTGTTGTTTTGCTGAAATATTTGCAAGTAAGCTGCAGAAATTGGTCTTTCCTCTTACGTACAGGTGTCTGTCAGGAATTAGGAGTTATGTATCATATATGTAATTGACTTGAGTGTGTATTCATATAAATGAACTAATCTCTGGGGGGAAAGGGCAGCCTTTCCTTACAGGAAAATGCCAGCTATCACAAGTAGGAGGGATGATGAAATTAGAAAGTTTCTGTTGGGCAAAGCGGAGTAGTCACTGATTTAGGCACAATCAATGAGGGGTAAAACTAGCGGGTGAAAGTTTGTAGGGGATGGAACGGAGTACACAATTGTCTTTCCACAAAATACTGATTAATTACAAAGGGAAAAATAGTAACTTCATAGCAAAAGAACCTGATCAGTAGCACCTTATCGAGCAAAGATTAACACCCCTAGTAAGGAGACATCAACCTCAGGTGCCCTCTGATACGGTCTATTCAGGACACAGCTTCAGTGTTTGGGGAAAAGAACACAACCTGAACTGCATTATGGGAAGCACCCTACAAGCCTAAACACAAAAGCAGTGGTCATCATTCTAAAACAACAAAAAAGTCACGCTTATAGAAGAAAAGGCAATGCCAGTAAGCTTTTTTGTAAGTTTAAAAATTGCTTCAGTTTTTCTAACTAAAATCCCAAATGAACAGAAAATAAGTGACATCCTACGAAGCTATCAAAGCAAAATCAGAGTCAAATTACTTCAACGGATGAAAACTGTCCAATAAAAACGACATTAAGCAGAAGAAAACTCATCACATATTTGAAAAGACACATCTTGTAACAAAACCCTCAGATATGAAAGAAAAGTCTCAAAGGAGAAATTACAAACTCAAAACAGAAAAACCAAAGACGGCGGAGGAGGCAAGGAAAAAGCACTCAGGAAATAGTGTGGGGGATAAAGACAGTCATTTTAAAAATGAAGAACCAGGGTATGGTGGTGCATACACCTGTAATCCCAGCACCTGGGAGGCTGGGGCAGGAGGAGTGCTGCAAATTTGAGGTCAGACTGGGCTACATAGTGAGACCCTGTCTCAAAAAACAACGCCCCCCCCAAAAAAAAGGTGAGGATGAAATTCAAAGTGCCTTAAGGAGAACAGGTTCAACTCAAAATTTAGCAAGTGGGATTGAAAAGCGAACAATGAAAATGAAAATAATGAACAAAAATGATCAGAGAGAAAGTGACTGATGCTGAAATACTTGGATGAGTGGAATGCCTGGAAAAAGGAAATGATAATGGAACAGAGCTAATATGTAAATCTAAATCCCAGAGAAGTTCCCAGAATGTTTTTTTTAAGTGTGAGGGAAATTGCATCCAGATTGGTTCACTTCAGCACATACCCTCATAAAACCATTAAGCATTAATGAAGAGGAAAATATCTTCAGGGCTCCAGGCAAAAAGTTACCTAAAACAGCAGAACTGCAGTCTTGCAGTAATTTGCCAACATGAGGAACACAATGGGAAAGATGAACCCAGAATATGTTCTCTAGGCCTTTTAGAAAACATGGAGTTGTTCTTTGGCCCACGTACATGTGAATCTACAAAGAGGGTGATATTGCAGACCTCAAAGGAATGGGTACTGTTCAAAAAGGAAGGCTACACAAATGTTGCCATGGCAAAACTGGAGGAATCTAGTACCCAACATGCTGTTCGCATTGATGTAAACAAGGGCAGGATACTTGCCAAGAGAATTAATATGCATATTGAGCATAATAAGCACTCTAATTTAGAGTTTAGACAGATTCCTAAAATGCATCAAGGAAAATAATCTGAAAAGAAGGAAACCAGGGCTGGGAATGTAGCTCAGTCAGCGCAAGGCCCTGGGTTTGATTCCCAGTACAGAAAAAGAAAAAAAAAAGAAAGGTACAGTACATGGGTTGAACTGAAGCGCCAGCTGCCCCACCCAGGGAAACACAGAACCAGTGGAAGGAGCCCGAGTTGCTGGAACAATTTCCTGTGAATTCTTGGCATAGCGGGGGATGTAGCTCAGCCATGCAGCACCTAATAAGCAGCTACGTGTTCTAGTCCCTGCTTGTAAATAAAAAAGTGTTCTGCATTGTAAGGATGCTTTTCTTAATTGAGTAGGTGTGTGGTGCCTTTACCTCAGAGAAACAACTATCTGGAGCACAGATATTATACCTAGACAGTTGTGTATCCTGTAGTCCTCATGGTTCTTGCTAAAAGACGGGAGATACCGTGCAGGTATATAGCCAGATTGCCGAATATTTACATTGGCTTGAAGATTCTCTAAATCATCGTGAGGAAGAGCTGTAGCGAAATAAATGGAAGTCAGGTATGACATGTCAGTTAAATAAACTTTTCAAAACACCCTAAAGAAGAAAGACCCTTCTGTCTCCTCCAAGAGCTGACAGACACCTCCTCCTCTGGCTGCAACTTCCACTGCAGTGTGTCGGGTGCACTCAAAGTGACAGGGCAGGACTATCGCATGGGCTGCCTGACGGTGACTGATGCCGGCATGGCTGTGGGGACAGGGTCCTGGGACGCTGTGATAATTAAAGACCATTCTAGTCTTGAAGTGCTTCAGTGAGCATCTCCTACCCGTCTGCTCACATGGACACCTTGACTCCCCTGAAGAGGCTGGGGAACCCGTCTGTCAAGCACAGGGACAGCAGGTCCTTTCCGGAGCCAGAAGCCCACGGGGGAGTCCGCAGCAGGTCTGCACGTCTCTGAGCTGGGCCTTACCTGGTGCAGATGGCAGTGGCTGGTTCAGCCTCTCGGGCCATCCAATCAGGATTCAAATCCAGAGGGAGTGTCTGCCCCTGGACTGAGAGGTGCAGCACAGGTAACACTCACATCTGACCGACCAAAAGGGGACAGTAAATGGTTGTGACCTGGCCCCAAACCACCTGCCTTTCAGTCCCTCGTCCTGTTCTCGGGGATGTAGGAAGAGACCTTAGAACTGTTTTACCCACACGCTGCAGGGCCTGCAGATCACTTGGGGATCTCAGTACAAAGCCAATTCAGCGAGCTTGGGAGGGGCCGCTCTGCGGGGACCACACCTGAGTACCAAGCCCCTAGTCGTCGTTCCTGATTCAGTGTGGGTTGGAATCGCGCGCAGCTTTAAGAACACACTCGCACCTGGACTCCTGCCCTTCCAGATTCTGAGCTCTTCGGTCGGGCACACAGCCTGGGCGTGCGACGGTTCGAAAACTCCTTGGGCGATCCTCATGAGCCCAGAGGTTGAGAACCCCGGCCCTAGATGCCGCTTCTCAAAGAACCGCCCGCCCGTGGACCGCCCAGGCTGGGCCCCATCCCGAATCCGACCCCGCAGGCGTGGGCGAAAGCACCGGCTCGAGGTTTCTTTTCGGCCCCCACCCTGCGCCTCCCCCGCTCTGGTCCTGCATCCCGCACTCCGCCCGCTGCGGGGAGGCGCGGGCTCTGCAGCCCTGGCCGAGCTCGCCCCTGCGGTTCCCCGGGACGACCCGGCGCCGCAGCCTGCGCCAGGGTGGGTTCCTGCTGTAGAGGGCGCCCTAGGCGGCGGGGTTGCCACGCAACCGGGCCCTCGGGCGGACCGCAGCGTCGGGG